AACGTGACAGTGCTCCCTTTCACATTCTTTTCTGATACAGAACACTGGATCAATTAGCCAAAGTGAGTTTTCAAAAATGTTTCTCAAGGGCCAAATTCTTTTGGGGAAGAGGTAAAGAAGGGCATGACTTCATTTCTTGGCTTTTGGCCAGAATTTAGATAAATCGGAGGTGTAAGGTCCCTCTTTGACTTGTATTATCTGTGCATTCTTGAGAAAATCAGCTGGCAGACACTGAGCAATATAATTATTTCTTCTGAGAATAAAATAAATGTACTTCAGACCCTTCTCTCTTATGTTCAAGTCCAAAGACTTTCACTCATTGGGATTGGAAACCATTATGATTTTATCTGGCATCAAATCAATGTTTAATATTATGAGTAAATATTTGGTGTTCTCCTTTGTTGTCTACATATTCCATTAGTTCAACAAAATGCAAAAAGAAAGAAAACACAGGAAATGAAAATCTTCCCACAAGAAATGAACTTAATATATTTTGATTGACTGCTTTAACTTGTTAACAAAGAAAAGAGTCCCTTTATAAGGAAAAGTATCCTAGTGTAACTTAAATAAATAAGAACTGCAGCAATAGTAAAGCAAAACTTTACTGATTATTGCACAATCTTACCAAACCAATTTGGTGCATACAAATAATTGAAAATAAAATGATAAAGGAACAAAGTTTAAGAGGCAAATAAACTATTTGAAGTGGCCAACTGATTTTGTTGTTACGTGATAATGGCATTGTCAAGTATTAAAATGGCTGCTACCATAAGTGAACATTTATAGTCACTTTCAAAAGCAAAATGACATCTGACAAGCATTAAACTTTGCCTGCTGGATCTCCAGTATAGTCTATTATCCAAGTCAAATGACTATTTAAAAATCTTGTTGAATTATCCAGCATCTTGCACAGGTTAGGTAAAACTAGAACTTAATTCTACTGGAAGGACAATGGGGACACAGTTCAAACCTATTTTTGGAGTGCATTAGGAGAAGACTTTGAAAAATGTACTCTTCACTGTTATAAATGTAGATTTACCACTCTTCTCCTCGGCAAGGGTGAGTTCAAATTTATGCCAAAGGAGAAAACAAAACAAAACAAAACATGGAGATGTGTGTCTGTGAGTGAAACCTGAGCATATTTTGCCACAGGCCAATGTCTGCATTCCCTGAGTCTGGCGACACAGGCAGCATTCAGCTGGACAGGCCTATTCAAAGTACAGTTGGGGGTGGCACCCCATATGCTTTTGGTGAAACCCTTCATTGGTTTGTAGGCATGACCACTTGTCTCAAGCATCTTAACTAGTTACATAGAATGACTCCATCTCTCTTAAATATAAAAATAAATTAGCACAAATTCTGGATAAGAAAATAGTGAAGCAGACAGGAAGGAGTTAGCTAACTGTGAATAGAAATGAAAGACCAAACTGAAAAGTTTCCACTGCTAGGGTTCAGTTCTTACTGTCTGGGAAGGAGTGATGTTCTGCTGGGTGAATTAATACTTGGGAAAATCACAGAGGAGAGTCACCTTAGTTACAGGAAAACCAGATAAAAGTATCTATTTGCAGCCATGATGGTATCAATGCAGAGGTCACAATATGGTCAGATGGATGCTTACAAGTCAAAACATGTAGATACTACTTCTCTGCTGTTTCCCATCATTTTTCCACACTTGGGCAGGGTGGAGCAGAGGGTTAGAAATGGGGGAAGGGAAGAGATTAAGAAAGTGCATGATCTTCCACATAGGACCAATCTGTCTATTTGTTCTTGGAACCAATAACATGTATATTGTTCACCTCCAATAACTAGCATTGCCCATTGTTTTATTACATTGACAGATACTTAATTATGAACATTTAAAGCAAAATTCTAGATGACAGTTTATGAAAAGTGAGGAAATACCTGGTTGATGATAGGTTTCTGGGTTTTTCCTCTAGTCACTGAAAGATAAAGCAAAAAGAAAGTTAACATTAAAGAATGAAAATGTATAAAATGCAGTACTGATCCTGCCATATTCTCAAACTCCAATAGTTGTCATGGGTTCTCTGAGAAGGGATTCGTTTCACAATATAGACACAATTGCTCCAGTAATTGGAATAAAAAAATAAAAACCAAAATAAACCACATTAGATGAAGATAACAGAAAAGGGCGTGGAAATCCAGTAAGGGTGATAGCAAAAGAATGTATTAAACTTTGGCAGAAAAATGGTGAAAAGATGAAAAGGACCGAAGAGAAATTTGGACAACAGATCATTACTGGTTTCCAAACAGACAACCTGATCATGTATAACACTAACACTGAACCTTGAGGACTGGACAAGGAGACTTGGAGGTGGTAGATGACAGAAGTGCTATCTTTCAAAACTAATGGTCTGGTGGCGTAGTGCCTAAGGCATTTGACTGCCAACCAGAAGGCTCATGGTTCAAACC